GTGTGTGTGTGTGTGTGTGTGTGTGTGTGTGTGTGATCCCACATTCATTGTAAAACCTCAGTGGAAAAATCACACACATACATTGAAGTCAAACACCTGCCTTTTTACCGACACAAAATATGACAATGATGAAAATCGTTTTTTACTGAAAATCAATCCTTTGCAGAACGGGCCTTATCTTTGTGAGGAGAAAGCAGAGTCGGGCTGAATAGATATGTCGATTCATCATTTACTGGATCAACAAAACTAATCAGCGACCATTTTTAAGGATAAATAATAAACATCCTCCGGTTCAAGGTTCTCAAATTTCAGGATTTGCTGGTGTTTATTGAGTAGTAACCTAAAACGTATTTGGGTTTTGGTCTATTCATCAGACAGAACAAGCGATTTGAATAAGTCACCCGGGAAACTGTAACTTTTATTTATTTTTTCTTCAAAAAGAACAAAACAAATATTCCATTAACCGAGAGAATAATTCATGAATAATTGTTGGTTGCAGCCGTGAAACAGATGCGGAGGAGGATAGTCGAGTTGTCATGTCCCTCCCACGATGTTTGATTGACATTCTAAGTAAAAACAATAACGGGCACCACAGATGTCTTCTCGTCCCTCGCTCTTCACCATGTAGATCATCTGAGGCATCCCTGTTTTTATTCTGGTGGACCGACCCAAACCCGAACCTCAACACGGTTTATAGGACAGCATCGAAAAAGAAATGTTCTATATTCAGAGTGGCCATCTTTGCCCCCCCCCCAGGTGGTTTGAGTGTGTTTGTGTGTTGCTCTTTCAGCTGCTCGTCCTTGCCTGTCAGTCGCAGTGACATAGTTGTAAGCTGTTTGAATACACTTCAGCCTCTTCTTGTACATTACTGTGTATTCTGATTCATGTTATTAACAGTCTTACTGGTGAGATGATCACACAGCGAGCTGTTACTGGTGAATATTAGGGATGAAACTAATGATCGCCATAATCTCTCAATTAGTTTTTTCATTTAAATAATTGACTGTTGAGTCCATACACATAAAAAATAGTTGAAAAAAACATCACCATATTAATAGAGGAGAATAATTGATTATCAAAATGATTACTAATACATTTTCTATTGATTTACTACTCAGTCGATTATATACTATATAGTATGTGTATACAACCTGTGTGTGTGTGTGCAGAACTGTCAGTTGTTGTGCTTTCTCCTCTAAACCACTCAGTGTTGTTATTGCCCTCTCTCCCCAGCTATGCTGTCGCCGTTGGTAACTACAATAAATCACCATAACACCAATGGTGTAATGAAAGCGTCGACCCCCCCCACACCCTGCACTGCTCTCTCCTTTTATTATCCTCCACACTTCTTCACCCGCCCTGTCCCTCTATTCCCACTTGTCCCTGCAGTGTCCTAACCTCCAGTCCCGTCTCTGGCCTACACAACTGGTGTTTTGGGTTAGAAGCATTTTGGGCACGGTGACGCCCATTATTACCAAAGAGTGACAATACTCTTTCCAGTACACAAGATGCCAAACGTCAGGCGCCCTTGAAACAAGCACCTAACCCGTGAATGCTGCAGTGAGGCAGCTCGGTCGCCAACACTCGCGAGTTCAGTGGCCGAAAGCTGCCGGTCCGGAGCGGCTTACGCTTGTGCTGGATGGTGCTGAAAAAAAGGAGCTTGTTGGCTTCTTTTGGATTATTATTTATTGAGTTATATTAGTTAGAATTTGCATAGTTTTCGTCTCAGAGGTCCCATCACGTCAGGTCAAGCACTGCCTACTAGCTAGATGCACACAAGAGGAACTGGAAGAAGAATTAAACCATAAGTCCATCTAAGGTTTTAGAAACGTCTGTGGTTTGAGTCAGTAAAGTAATGTGACTTGATCCAGAATTACACGTGTGTCATTGTATTCTTTTGATCTTGTAGTAACCTCTGAAGAGTAAACAAACAGCAAACAACTGAGTGGGCCCAGATCCCCTCTTTAGGAACCCCTCATCAGACCCTTTCTTCCCTCCTCCAGAGGTCACGTTTTCCTTAGCCCAACAGTTATCAGGGTGGATTCTACAATACTGGATGTCACCGACTGACCAAACACCAACTTGAGACTGAAACACATGGTGTACACTGTACAGGATTCATTTAGACTGTAAGCAAGCACTAGTTGGTGAGGGTATCTATAGAGTGGATTTTTACATAATGATGACAGCTGTGTAGCAGACACGTAGCCTAAAAGGTAAGTTGATTGATTAAGCTGGCAATATTACTTTTTTTTTCCTTCCCATGAATACTTTCTGATCGTCCATCTCTTTTTGAGGTTAGGTTAGATTTGAGTGAGAGAGGCAGTCGTAATCAAGAGGGAGTGATTTTATAGAAGAGAGATGTTACAGGGAGCCAGAAAGGCTGACGTGGAAGAGGAGAGGTGAAATAGTGAGAATCAGGGAAAAGGACAGAAATCGAAAGAGCAAGAAAGAGCCGGTGGGGCATATCACCCGAAAGATGAAGAGAGAGAGAGAGAGGGAGAGGGAGAGAGAGAGAGAGAGAGAGAGAGAGAGAGAGAGAGAGAGAGAGAG